GAAATGCTGTTTTCATCGCTACTCTAATCTTAGTCCCTCTAAAGATAAATTTGAATTTCAAAATGAATAGTATTTTAAATTTAAGTGCATTTATTTCCATTCTCGTCCCTACTTTATCTTCTTTGCTTAAAACGTGGGTTTAAATTCTTTTTGAACTTACTCAGAAATTTTTACAAAAGTCAAATTAAGAAAAATTCTCATTAAATGTATGCAAAAGCGGTTCGTTTTGTATTTTTTTTTTTGTTACTTATAAATTATTTACTGAAAGCTAATTGAACAGAACTTGTCTTTGTGCGACATAAGGAAAATTATTTGTAAACCACAATACAGGAACAGTGAAATCTACCATACAGGCTTGATTCCATCACCAAAAGCAAAAAAGTATGATGTAGCAAAAACGAATGAGAATCAGAGCTAATGGTTCAATTTGTACAAAAATATAAAAATGGGTGAATCAAATCCAGTTGTTTTAATTTTGATCCACCGTTTTGGAATAATGCGATACCAGTATTTATACCTCATGATGAGGGTGTAAAGTCAAAAGATTTCAGCTTTGTTTTGTAGTGCAATTCTAAAATATTCCTGACCATAATCTAATCAAAACTACAATTAACGTACTTATAGTTAACGGTGTGTCACCGTAAAACCATGCTATTCATTTTAGACGATATTATTATTATGGCCTTGGTGCTAAAACCTATTCTTACCTCTAAGTTGTTATCAATTCCAGCCGCTTTGAGATCGACAAGTTTGCACGGATAATTGAATACCAGTTGAAACAATTGCCGCAAACGAATCCCCTGATTATTTCCACCAATATCATAGTATAAGCACATTTTGTTTACTTCCTCATCCAGTTCTTCACTAAAATGATATAACTTTCAACTTTCAACCATTATTAAGGAATCCCGGAAGACTCGTGAAACACCAAAGTTTCCCGTGAGCCAACATGCACAAAGCGAAAGGAAAGAAGAAAACGTTTATTTACTTTATGAAAAGTAGAAAAACCTAATATTCGCCACAATTAATGCCTAGCAAAATTACGACTTGCAGAAAAATAAGCCCGAGTTCAGTAAAATAATTAGCATAGTGGCGTGAAAATTTCGTAAACGAGAATTTTTTCTAATATGGTATGATAGGAAAATGTAGCGGTTCAACAAAAAATAAAAATACAACTAAGAAACCGACACCATACCAGATAATCCCAAAAACTTAGTTGAAATGTTGGATTTAGGAAGACAGTGAATTTCCAAAAAAAAGGAAGATTGGAGTCGAAACTTAGACACATATGTAAGCAAGGATAAAAATTCAGAAGCAAGTACATATAACTTTCCTCTTTAGTTCTCAGTTATTTGCAAGTTTTTTCTTAATATATGAAACAACATGCACAACTATCTTCCAATAAGTATTCATTTAATCCAAGCTTCTTGAAGACTACAATTAAAACGAATTGCAGTGAATTACAAGCACCGTTTTCTCCATACTAAGAAACCGACACCATACCAGATAATCCCAAAAACTTAGCTGAAATGTCGGATTTAGGAAGATAGTGAATTTCCAAAAAAAAAGGAAGATTGGAGTCGAAATTTTCTTTAAAAAATATTTTTTTTATTTCTTTAAAAAAATATACATATTGGAAAGTATACCTACTGATAGCAGCGACAGTATTGTCCTAGTTAGTTCGATGGATTTCATCTCTGTATAAATTTTCTTTCTTGTTATTAACTTTTCAAGCCAAATTTCAAAAAAAAAATCCCTACTCATTTACAAAAAAAATTTCTCTCAAAATATTTGAAAATTATGTAGTTACAGAGTCTTTGGTCATTTATGCTACAATTCTACTAAGAGTGATGCAGTTCGAATATTTGCACCTTCAAGTGATTCGTTGATTGAATTATGGCGAAAAAATTTAGTAATCATCATCAAGTGAAGGACAGATTCCTAAAAGAGTTTTAAGGGAAAATAATTTTCACTATTCAATTTTTTTTTTCTTTTTCACAGCTCAATAAAAAATACTGTGAGAAAAAAAGCCCAAAACAGAGTTGATTAGATAAGGTTAACTTAAACGTCCCAACAATAAATTTAATTTTGGCAAACACACGGAAAAATCCTAACAGTGAAGTTCATTTTCCAAGATAAGTTTATTTCTACTAATGAAACAAAAAAACCTTCTTCAAGTTCCTAAAATTTTTCCACTTTTATCATACCTGTGTTTAAACAAAATTTTCGAAATGTCCTGAAATCAATTATTGTGGACTGTGATACTGTCTCAACTTTTTTTTTTGATCTAATTTAAATGAATACATTTCACAACCAATAGACAATGCCGTGGCACATATTATCCTTTTCATCGTGACGATAGTGACTTATTCCGTCTACTACCAAGAATAAATACGGTTGAAATTGATTCATGCTGCCAGAAATGTATAGGCAGTCATCAGCTGCTCAGTTAACTTACACGAGTCAGGAAATAATGAGCAAACACGTCCGCATTTAAAAGATATGTAGTGAAGCCTTAACAATCGTTGAAAAAATTCAAATAAATAATAAAAGGTAATTGAAATATACAAATTAGAAGTGCAGAATGAAAGTAAGCAAAAATACTTCTAAAAAAGATAACATTACCGATGTATTTTGCTATATTATCGTGAAGCAATGAAAAGTCATACCCAATATCCAACTCAGTGAAACATCCATAGGCAAGACACTCTACAAAATCAGCATGAAATTGGAAAAGAGCATTCATGAAGTATTTCTTTATGTGAGTTTTCAAGAGCTTCCCAATCGATAGACGGCCTGTTTCACAAAGATTGTCACGTACCATTTTCATCAATCTGAAAGATTTGAGAGCTCATATTTAATTCATTTTCAGTCAAAAATCATGAAATTATGAGCAATTCAGTGATTTTTTAAAGTCAGCTGTTTAAGATAAGAAAGAGGTTCAATTGTAATTTTAACAAGCATTAACTGAAATAATTGTGAAACAAAATGACGCTGCTCACTTGTCCGTTTAAAAATTTAAAAAATTTCCGAATTTTATGAAAATAAACAACATTCAATCAAAAGATAACCTGAACATTTGTGTCGAATATCTTACCGATGATAAAGTTAACTTATTTAGTAGTTTCGACAACGGCGAATTGTTCACGGTGTAACCTAGTAAAGTAAGATGTTTTAACTAAATCAACTTTTCACAGATTTTCATGGAAAACAATTTATATCAGACTTGGTTTGAAAATTCAAGAAGAAACATTACTTCTTTCATGCATTTTTTGACACATCTGGCTGATCCGCTGCACAAATTCCGTATAACGAAAGAAAATGAACACTCGTAGAAGATGTTCATCAATTTCACTTATTGATTCATGTACTCCAACTGCAAGATTCTTATCTGCAATCAAAATCCAACCCGGCCAGCCAATCTGCAATGAAGATCACGAATTTCATAAAGGAACATTTATTCATCATTTGACTTTATCCGCAAAAAAAAAAATGACATTGTCGTCTAATATGCAACTAGATAAACAGGAACAAAGAATTCGAAACAAATATGGATTTATAAATAATTATAAATTTAAATCAAATATAAAACAAATATAACGGAGCAAATATAAATTTAAATCTATGATCCCGTGTTGGAAATAAATGAAACATGTAAAAACAGGTCATACTTAAGTAAGATTTACAAGTACAAGATAAAAATGTAACGTGAAATGGAAATGCAAGTCGAGAAACGAATAGAAAAGGAACCTCTTTTGGTAGTGATAGCGACTGCGGCGATTTCTCCGTAGTGTTACTTCCGCAAAGATAAAGCGTGGCAAAATTTGCCGCACCACCAACAATAATACCTGTCTGAGAACCGCTTGCGAATGCATCCAAAACGAAAGAATGGTTTCCAACCTGAAAAGTTAACCAGTGGTCATCAAATGTGCAAACTTTAGATTTCCCTTTAACAGAAGTTACACATGGGAATACGGATGTTATAGATTAATAGGTAGTAAACAGCGACAAAACGATTGAATATACTCGATTTTTGTTATGAAAAAACCACTTGAATTGATAAAATTAACTTTAAAAAGCGTTGGCTTCGTTACATGTGACAGGTTTGCTTGTTTTAACTGTCCATCACTGTTTGATCCCCATACATATAACTAAAAGATTTCAATGAATTTGATGAAATGCTCTTTGAAACTAATAAAATTAATAAAATCAATGACATCCAGTTTCTGGTAATGAGGGTAGTCCTATCAAATCACTTGGAAATTACTATCTGCAAAAAATAGCTCATTAACCGATTAACTTTTGACTAAAAAACAATAAGCGATACTGATGGTAATCGGAAAAACATTAACAACCTTGCCAGTTCCCGTGAGTGCTATAGTATGGTCATCTCCTGCCGCTACTTTGATACAATACATGCTGGATGAATCGACTATTTTAAATGGCACCCTCCTGGAAAATCAAAAATCAAAAAAAAAGCATTGCATTTCTGATATTAAAAGCTTGCTGAGAGTATTAATGGTATATTTCAAAAGCAATTTATGGAAAAATATCTAATTTTGATACCTCATTGCTAAATCACCATGTCCCAGCTGGCCATTTTCATTAGCGCCCCATGTCCAAATTTCTGGCAATAAGTTCGGATCATCCTGTGACTCGATAAGTGAAACTCTTCCATCTAACTTTGAAGGGCTTACATTGTGGACAATATAATTTGGTAGGTCTTTTGTATCTAAAAACACTTTTCTTTTTTTCTCAACAGATGAAACCATTTTGATGAAACTGTAGAAGTTTCAAAAAATAAATAAAATATCATTGTGGAAGTTAAAATCAACAAAAGACAACTTTTCGAAAGGATTTTCTCATTCTCAAGATTTCTGTACCCATAATCCAGTGATTATTTCTATACTCACAACCTAGTTCACCAAGTTAAGAGCAATCTCATCTATTTTCATCTCTTTACAAGCGGAAAAAATACAATTACTTTTAAGGTTATCAGTTGAGGAATGAGAACTTTGTAAGTCATCCAAAACCGAATAAGTTCCAACTTTCACAAAAATAAAATGAAATACATATTGCTTGAATGATGCGGTTAAGTCTCACTGCTTATATGAGTGCTCATGCAAAATTCTTACTCGTATTCTGCATATAATACATATCAGGTAGATTCTCTATTGAAACGAATGTTGAGTTTTTTCCAAGTCCATCCCAAATGTTAACATTTTTCATTTCTGTCATTTCATATTCAACAAATGAAGTTCTTTTCGACGGTTTTACACTAGTTGGACGTGACGAACTACACCGTGGAAGTGTTTGGTGTTCGCTATGACTGAAAACATATGTATTAATCTAGGAGAATAAAAAACGACCGTTGGCAGCAGACGAATTCATCTCTTTTTATAGAACCTTGAGAATAAAATTCAGCTCATAAAATTTGAAAAACTAAGTACCTGTTATCTGTATCCAGAAGTAAACATGCATTTTGGATGGTAAAACTTGCTTTCATAGGCAATTCTTTTCCACAGCTTACAAATGAAATTGGTAATTCATTTTCCTAAAAGAGTCGTTTTTTTTCAATACTAAGAGCTTGAAAAATTATTTAAAACAAAGCAAAGCAATTCAACATAGGCTCCAATAAAAGCATTTCATATCTATGAAAGAAGTCATTTTATGAACGGAGAGTGATGCACTGCACATCGGAAAAGTAATAACTCTCCTTAAGAAATACGAAATTCTCTTCTCGAATTTGATATAAAAGACTGGAAATTGGACTCTAGTGCTCAAATTTAACCATAAACTGAATTGACAAATGAGAAGAGAGCCAAAACCTGGTCAGCCATATACATTAACGTACTCAGCCGTAGTTCGTACTCTTCCCGACATTTTTCACATTTGTTTGATCTCTGAATCCCCAAAGTTGGTGAATTTTCAACATCGGTATCTTTTTTTCCATCAATCAAAGGAACCGCCAAGCAGACAAAATGTTTTCTAAAAAACTTTTGTAAAATTACAACAAATAAAATGCATTTTACAAGAACGTGCTCGAAAGCTATTCAAACCTTCCGGCACAGAGTTGCAAAACTTTGCGTCTTGATGCAAGTTGTAAAGATCGCACTTGAACGCGCCCCAGTGAATCAAATTCTAATTTTCCACCACCATAGTTCCATAATTGACCATGAAAATCAATAACGCAAACCTCCGATGCAGATGCTTGAACAAGCCTCACTTTCAGTGACCTGAACTGGAACCAGGAATAAAAAAATACGAAACGAGAAAGAATTCTACTTTCTGAGGAAATTGAGTTGAATATTAGCATAATTTTCTTGATCTTTTTGAAGAAAATTGAAGGAAATTTTTCTCCTTTTACCTGAGGAAACATTACTTTTTTTTCTGATAAAAATGAGGCGTGCGAAAAATAGGCTAAAAATAACAAGTGTAAATTTATAATTATAAACGTAAAATTTTGTTGCTGCATAGAATGTTTTTATTGCATTTATCCGGAGTGATTTTCAAAAAACGGAAAAATTCTTACTCTGTAATAGTAACCGAAGATCCATGAGGGCAAATAGCCAGTGGTGCGACTAGTTCAATTTCACGTAACGACTTAATGGGATCTGGAGAAATCACACCACATTCACCGTAATTAGTATGCCCACAACCAAAGAGACGACCTTCTTCACTTACCAAAAACAATTTTCCATAAGCAGCATGGAATGAGATGAAACGAGATGAAGAAAACGAAGTTTCGGTTAGATATGGCTTCTTGGTGCCAGATGGCGTATATATGTACTAAAATGAAAGTTTCATTAAGATGAATAACAGATTACTTTCCGAATTTGAATTTTCTGAATTTATCATCTTTGAAACACCTCTTTGGACTTCTTTCAGAATAAAGATGCTTTTAGAAGTAATGTAACATAGGTAAGTTAATTAAATGAACAGATCACTTCTGCAATTCCGTAAGAAAACAACATAAAAATGCACCACAGTGCCATCCTCTAAAGCAAGAATGTCACCGTGATAAATCACGACGTCTCTTGAAGTTGAAACTATTGAATCTGCAAGTATTTTCCATCCTTTCGTGTAAATTTCCTTACATCCAGTTTCCCAGGAAGTGAATACCAATCTCATTTAGTATATTGACTTTGGTGTATTTCGTAAACAAAAGCGTCTGAAATTTTTGAATTTCACAACATTCTGAACCCTAACTATATTGATATGTGAATCAAAAAAATTGAAATTAATGTCTCAGATAAATCCAATATTTATGAAATTATTATGGAAGCTCTTAGGTAAAGCCCCATGTTTAAAAACAAATAGTGGGACTGAAATTTAAGAAAAATCCACAAATACTGAAAGATGAGATGGAAGAGTAAATATTTTCGAAAGTTTTTTCATAAAATACAAAGCAGTGACATGTTATTCGAGAAATCCTTGAAAAATGGCACAAGAATGAGAAAAAAACATGTAAATTTAAAGATAAGTAAAGATCTAACATAAACCACAAATTAGTACAGAAGAAAAACCTGATAATTTCTTTTTGCCGAAGGAAAACTGCAAGATTTTTTCTATCTTTTGTGTCCAGAATCAAAAAAACCGGAAGGATTTGTGGGTATAGTAAAAAATTAATGAATCGAATGATTTAATAAAGCGGTGAAACTCACACAACGATGATGATCTGAAACATTTCTCAATCTGGTAATTTTATGATTTTATTGAAATTTGATTGGTGAATTTACGAGGATTACCAGCAAAAACTGCAGTATTGACTAGATAATATACATGCAAGTAATGCCGTGTAACATATGTCGTCCCATCCAGCCTATTTTACCTCAAACTTGAGCAGACACCTGCACCTCAAGCTTGAGCAGACAGTGCAATTAGTTGCTCTCGCATTATCCAAGCTCAAGCAATTTAAGGCAACATTTAAAGTCAGACCATTAAGGATAATAAAGTAATTAGCTATTCCGACATTCCATTAATAGAATAATACCGAGAATTCCCTTATGATCAACAATTTCCGTGTTCTAAACAACGTACTACAAATCAGAAGTTTTACAAGGACAAATGAACTTCAAAAATTTTCACAAAAATTCTAAAATTAATCGGCTCACGTAACAACTTTTAGTCGTGGAAAGAATTTTAGGGACTACAGCGCAAAAATCCGAAACAAATTTTCTTGGTTTCCTTCAATATATGTTGCATCACTGTATCAAACTGCTATGAATAAATTCTTTCAAGCAAGACCCTGCTGTTTTATTATCTGAAAAGAAAAAAAAAGCAGAACAAATCTAAACGAAAGAAAATTGTGGATCGAATTTGCAAATCGTGGATCGAATGCTGCATTCATATGTTTATATCGTCGGTAAGATGCTCCAAAAAGCATAAGTTTCTATTGTTTTCCTGGTTTTTGGATACCAGGAACACTAACTGGATTCCATCCAAAATTGGGGATTCGAAAAAAGTGTAAGAAAAGGGAAAGAGTGTGTTTTAGCAACAAAAATTTATCTTCATACACACAGCTTTAAAAAAACTAGATGAATGACGAACAAGAAAAGTAAATCCGGGAATTTACGATGTATTCTATCAGAAATTTGGTAATTGTGCGCCTGTTTTTCCTAATTTTACTTCTTACACCGAGCAACCTACAAGCTTTTCGTTGAAGCCAAGAATAAGAGGTTGTCCAACAAATTTGGGGCACAACGAACATAGCCTGATTAATTCAACAAAAATAGCCACACTATAACTAAAAACTTCGTTTGATTAACACTGAAATGTCTTTGACAACTATATAAATGTAGTAATAAAGGAAGAATAAAAGTGAACTGGCATCTGTGTCATTACATAGCGGTTATCCGACGCTATGGATGGAAATCGTCGGGATATATTGCGATACATATCTAGATATTAATCATCTCTATTTCTTCGCCTGCTCGGAAATCCCCTGAATTCAAAAATGCACAAACTATAACCTGATAACCTTATGGCGCAGTTTTGCTTTAATGTCACAACACGAACAGTGTACAATCAAAGCAACAAAGAAACAAAGAGTGCAGAACTTCAAATAATGAAAAGCAGACAGATGTTACACAGAATCTACTACCTTCTCACTTATCGTTCTCTTCAGTGTTACGATCAAATTGAAGTGCTGTGATGAGATAACAGTCTGTATGAATAATTGTGCTTTTTTAGACAGTACAACACTCAAACAAAGTTAAAATATGAAAAAATAAGGAATTTATGAGGCAGTGACGACGAGAGAAGACGACTATTCATACATAGTATGTGTGACGTGACCGTTGAGGAGTGGAATAGGGGAAAAGCTGCGTGGTGTGGGCGCAAGTTGTAAAGGGAGGATAGGCAGATGAATAAGGAAGATAAGAGGAGGATCATGAAATGGAAGGGTATGAGGAGAGGCTTAGGCAAGCAATAATGATTATAGTGTCAACAGTGTCAAGCGATAATTTATCTGCATATTTTCGTTATATTATGCATAACAGTACTTCGGATGGTAAAATTAGATGGATGATGAATGCCGACGAGCATCTCCATAACGGTACTTCGAAGGTGCCGAGGTAAGAGGAAGCACCCATGCCAGATGGACTAATCTTGCCATGAAAGAATCCCTTGGCTCATACTACTGTGTTGTTGAAAAGCGTTTCTACAATCAAACTGGAATGCGGCGAAGTCGATGGGTACACAATGCAATGCTAACATCCTAGCTAATATATGTCGTCTGTTGAACGAACGGATCGAGCGGTAAATCATTGGGACGTCTCTGACCTAGTTCAGCACTGTTTTACGGGTGACAAGTAGAAGGACATTCTCAATTAAAAACTTGGGTACTTGAATTTTCTCCTTTTTCATCCATTTGATTAAAAACAGTAACATCACCTTAATTCTACTGTCTATCCTCCATTAAATTCAGTCGATAGCACTCATGAATTCATGAAGGTGAAGTCAGGTGAATGAAATTGAAAGTTATGGATGATTTTATTCTAAAAACCAATCTGCCCATGCCTGAAACAATGTTATTAAGTACTTGAAAGTTTAATCTCGAAATTGTAAACAATCATTTCGATTTCCCCTCGAATTTGTGCCATCGACCATCGCTTTGAGGCTTCCGTTGCAAAGCAGTTTTGTTGCAAGATCTGTAACCGTTCTGGCATCGTATCTGGCGATGGTATTCGGTATCCGTCCTTCACCTAAATTTTGCAGTTTTAGACAACCGACAACAGAAATTAATGAACGAATAGTTTGATTTTTATCCCTTGAACTTTTTTCTTTAAAAAAACAAAAGAACGAACAAACTTGAACCGTTTAGTTACTATTCAAGTAATGAATCTCACTTAGTTTAAAATGATGAAGCAATGTTGTTTTGGCCTCTTTTTCGTGATTGAAATGAAGCTTACCTTCACAATAACTTCAGCGACCGTCATTCCGCAGTACGGTTCCGCACCATTTGTAAACACTTCCCACAGCAATATTCCATAACTGAACACATCTGATTTTGTCGTGTATATTGCGTTTCTTATCGTTTCTGGTGCTAGCCATCTGCATTACAAACAAAACTTCCTAATTGCACTGTGGTAAATTATTTTTCTTTATGACTCAAATTCTATTTGAGTTCATCTGTTTATTTGATCGAAGGATATAAGAATAGCCCTTTGCTACTTTCGGAGGAAAGAGTCATACTGTAATTTTGTTTTCTGTTTCTATAAAGATTTAACTACTCAAAGGATCTATCTTATTTTGGAAAGATAACGGTTTCTGGGTTGAAGTTTGCACAAATTACGCTATTTAAAAGGGAGAGAAAAAGATTAGTACGAGGAAACGGGAAAGCATCGTTCAGGATAGGACGTCTCTTAATCGATATGATGATGCGAATATATGAAGGACACCTCACCCTGTCAAATAGTTCCTTTGAATTGATCATTTGGTTACGGTGTTTGCTATTCAAACCAAATGTCACTGCTACAAAATAAAAGGCCATACTACCTGATGGGTTGGTTGGATAGTAAACTACTAATAAACCTGTTTATTAAATCCTTCATTCTTTACACTTTTTAAATTTAATTTTAGATCTCAAAATGAGATTCTACACAAAGCATCTCAGAATAATTTCAAAAAAATCGGATTCAAATTCGCAAAATCTATAAATTGCTATAGGATGAAGTTACTAGCAATTTACAGAAAAACTAAATTGCAAGTAGTCTCTTTGGATCTTTTTGGACTCATTTTTGGACCAAAAAAAGAGTGGGTAATGGAAATACTCAATAAATAAGATAAGCTGGTTCTGAAAAGTAAAACGAGCTGTGTTTCAAACGTTTAGGATATCTTGAAGCTTTAAACAGATCGATATTTAGTTTTTAATTTCGAAATATTTTGACGATTATGGTCAAACCCTCATTTAATCGACGAGAAAAGCCGTAGTAGATAAGTAACAACTGATAAGTGACAAGTTTATATAGTTTTTAACTGGTCATCATGGCAAACAAAACTTTTAGATATGTTAAACCTTATGGGCAAATTCTGCTTCAGCCTCGTCATCTTGTACTCGTCATCTTGTTTTCTAATTTCTCGGGACAGGTTGAAATCAGAAATTTTAACACACATATCTTCCACCAGGCAATTTCTTAAAATTGCTTTAAGCTTTGAAATATACTATGATAAAGTTTTTCCTCTGTTATTGCAAAGCCAAAAAATCCTTCCATCAGTTGATTATCAAAGATTAAAGAACCGGAAATCGCAATGTGTTGATTTACAAATCTCGAATTTGCTGATGATTTTTATATGCGTTAATGATGATAAGTAACCATTAGCAAAAGTATTGATCTTATTTTTGAGAAAAACCTTGCTGAAATATCTCGATGAATGACCCCATTATTATGAAGGAATTCCAGTCCCGATGCAATATCTAAACAGAAATACAACTTTTCGCGAATGCTTAATGTTGAGCCCTTTGTTACCAAGAAAACATCCAGACTTCCATCTTTTAACAATTCCATCAACAGCATTACTGGTTCCTTAAAAAGTTCACCATTAAAGTTTGTTTTTGATTGAGAGTTTCTGGAATTAGAATTTGAAACAAACTTTCATTTAAATTACAAAATCGTCTTGGATTAATATTTTGAAAAAAATTTCATTGTGAATGTATTTTTTGCATTATTGTTTGCCAGTCCTCGTTCCTTCCGTATTTTAGCACACATTTAGTGGTTATTTAATACCTTATTAATCGCGATCCCATAAAGACGAACAACATTTGGGTGCTCTAATTTACGCATTATACGCGCCTCTCGGCAAATCTGTTCCACGGTCTCCCGGTCTGATCTACGCCCTTTCCGTACTTTAACCGCAACCTTAAAAGTAAAAAATTTTCGATTTTCATCAATTTTATCAAGTTTTAGAAACAAAATTCCTTAAGTAATTACTATTCGAAAATTTCTTCCAAGAAATATATTAAAATTAATAACTTCTATGTTTCATCTTCATCCAGTCATTATTATATTCTTTCCTTTTCCCAGTTAAAAGTTTGTATAATGAAACTTTTTATTCAGATTTTGTTTCAAAGAATATATTTTTGAGGAATTAGAATGTTTTATTACCTCTTTCTCCTTTTCATCATCTTTGAAAATACCTCTGTAAACAGCGGACATTGCACCCTCCCCCAACAATTCATTAAGTTCTATCTGCAATATATTCTTTTATTGTTAAAATTCCTTCGGATTTTCACAATAGTTTTGAATTTGAAGTACGAACTGACTAAAAGCTATTTCTATTTCTGTTTTATGACTGGATGAACGAATTTGTTAAATATGCTTACCTGTTCATGTCTTATTTCCCAGCTCTGACGAGGAACGGCATCCAAAAGCACAGCACCACTCTGATCAGTTATTGGGTCTTTAGTGATCAAATGATATCTACAGTTAAATAGGTGAGCTTAGATTTTATGTAGAGTTTCTGGGTTAACTTGTAAGTATTTAAATATTTTAAATACGATCCAAAATTGCATGACAAAAAATTTTTTGTCCCAAATTTTCTCTTATCTTTGTTAAGAAATAAATAATTTTTCATCTTTTTGGAAAACGTAAATATTTCAATCAGGGAATGATAGATACTTTATGAGTTCACAAACAGAAGCAAATTGGCGTTTCTCGATAAAAAATTTTTCATCAGCTTGCCGGATAATGAAATGCATTGTCTTATCATTCCATTTTACCGATAGCACCAGTTGAAACCCCTGAATTCATTAACTTTATATAAAAATTTTGTAGTAATGTTTAAATTTTACACCTCACAATTACTATCATCAATTTTAGGAAATCCTTTTTTCTATTAGAAATTTCCGAATTTTATCACAATACTTAATATGGCTTTTATCGTTCAATTCTTCCGCTTTTTTTTCCGTTTCTTGTAGGAAAAAGTGATTGTAAAGCTACCGAAGTGCATCAAGTTGCACACATCGTCAAGCGTCAATTAACCATAAGGAAGGGTTTCTAGTTATATCCGAACTAGATTGGTCTAGATATCTTTAGTCTACTTGAGAATATTGGAAAAACGTTGAATCGCACCTCTCCCTTTTTGATTTCAGTTTCGCGAACCAAAAATTGACCGTTCTTAGAAAGCAAAATGTTTATATCTTGACGTGGCAACAATCCATGATACCATTCAGCAAATTCTAATCCTAAATTATTCCTGATGATTACTAATTAGTTAATATTAATTAGTTAGTTGAGCTACAGTGATCAAAATGATCAAGACAGTTTCTTTTTTCATAACGGAATTTTGAAATTTCCTGGTCTTTTAATTTAACGAAATTTAGCTCTACGAGTGAAATACTCCTATCATAGAACAATGAGCAGTAACCTGACTCTCTGTAAATCATTGAAACTGCTTTTAGCAATGATTCTGGACCAAACCGCTTATGAACTAAACAACAACAAACAACCAAACGAAATTGCTCAATCTAGCATTTTAAAATCCAAATTTCATTAAACGCATTGGTCATCAATCATTTTTCTTTTCAGAATTACCACCTCACATTCTTCAGGAAATTTTCCCGTTACTTTTCTTTCTTTTAGGTTTTAAATAAAAGATTTTGCAAGTTCTCTTTTTGCTACATGCAAGAAAAATCATTTTTTTGGATATTTTTGAAGTTTTATCCAAATATGATTATATTCTTAATAATGAACTTGTCAAGTTTTATTCTCTTTGAAATCTTCTGCTATATTGAATGTTGATAAAGCCGCACCAATTCCAAAAGATTCAAAAGTTTCCAGATATGAGGAAGTGATTGCTATTTTGTAAGCATATTTCTCCTTTAGATAATTTATCCCCCAATCACTCTTGCTTTCTTATCTTCATTCCAAATTCATTTTCATGTCCCTGCGATTTGTGCAAAATCTGCATCAAACTTAATGTTTCAATCTAAAGGGTTTAGTTTTTTATAACTGTGACACTAATTGTGTCACGCAATTATTTCCTTTCTTACACGTTTCTCTTATCACTGCTAAATTCATAATCCTGTTTTTTTTTGACTTAGATATAAAACCTGAAATTCCCACTGACATATTTGCAGGTGATCTGGCATAGTTAGATACTGTTGTTAACACTGAGGAAAATTATTTGCCATATTGAGATTGCATGATTTTTTGTTATTCTTTAATAAAACGAGTGATGCATTTTTCAGAGTAACAAAGGTCAATTTTTTTGCGTTGCCAAAATTTCTGATGGCGCATTGTGGCTCAAATGATAGAAATACTAGCTTTTTGTATCCAGTCTATTTCATTTTTTCGTTTAACAGATATTGTTTTTGTTTTTACTTAAACAGATCTAATTTGTTAAAGAAGTTAAGCGTTTTTACACCCGTTAAGACTTAGTTTTCTAATTTAATTCTCTTATACCAATTAAATATTATTTTTAAACGAAGAAATACGAAGTCGCATAACACGTCAACAACATCCCAAATTATATTTTCGAATTTGTTATTCAAACTGGTCAAATTAGTAATTAATTCCTTTACACCTCACCTTAAGGTTGCTTTTTTTTTGTTCCAAAGCACTGATTGGAATCGGAAATTGAGATAGCTAAGGATTCACAGTCAGCTAATAGTGAAAAATTTCCTTACGTGAAAGTGAAAGCAAAATAATTCTTCTATTCCCATAGAATGGGCAATTACTTTCCAGTCTTTTCATTTCTCATCCATTCTCTTTAAAAATGAATGTACAAGAACGGGATGACAAACGATCACTTCAGAATATAATTTTCGATTTGATCTTTTCCGGTCATTTTCTATTTTCATTTATAACTCAGCTGCAGTCCTTTTCAAATCATGAAAAACTACATTAAACTGCTCTCAGTCATATCAATTTTTTTCAGAACTTCATTGTCACTTGCATACTTTGAGCTTTTGTTATAGCATGCTTGAGTAAACATTATATTAGTACCAAGCACTCAAATAATTTATTTGTCAATTAGTCATTAACAGTTCTGGCCATTCATCGCTTTGGGACAATGACAAGATTATTGTCGAAATGGTAGTTTTCCACCGAAGTAATGCAAAATTTTCTGTGGGAAATATTCAGGGAGCAGATGTCACATATCATCAGTTCGGCTATGTATACGTGTATCGCGACGTGTTGTCAATGTGTTATCGTATTTGTGATAGGATTTTTAAAATAACCAATTTTGAAGTAAAAAGATTTGACGTGGAAAGAATAATGCTTCCCATAATTTGTTTGTGTTACTTCTGATGCTATTTCTTCAAATTCAGCTGAAAATATTGCATTTACCGAATAAGATCTTTGATATTAAATTTTCTTTTTTTTAGATATTCTTTGAGGATTTAAAAATTTCTTCACTTGCAATTTCTCAAATTTTCTCGCAGAATGCATTTTTTTAGTAAACATCAAAAATCAAAAATATAACTGTCTTTTTATGCAAATACTAACATTTTTTTTATTATTTCAATGCCTGAAAAACTTAACTCAGAACAGATTCATAACAGTAAACATAACTCAAATACGATTAACATTTTTTGAATCGAAGGATAAAAACATTTGCATTGGTAGGTTATATTTTAGTGAATCAATGATGAGTTTGACTTTATCGGATTGTTATTTTCTCATGCATTTCGGATTAAAATCCAATAAAAGAATTCAAGGAATGAATTATGAAGCATCCATCAAATCACGCCTGTAAGGAAATTATTTATATTTGATTGACTTCATGGAACTTTATTTGTTGATGATAGTACATTCATCAAAGAAATGAACAACTCGTCTTTGCCAACTGATAATTCTCTTATTCGTTAACTGTTAACGTATCGGCGCAACGCCAGGTCTCAAATTATCCGAACACTTTTTCTAAATGGTTTTCTAAATGAAGAAAATGTAAACTGATCCTATAATACCTTCATATCTTTTATGATATTATGAGAAAAGGTTTAAAAATCTTAATTAATAAGTGTTGGAAGCTGATTCTTCCCCAAGAAAAAAAAAAAGAAAACTTTGGCAAGTTACAATCACATTGCTACTTAAATCATACTGCTAGTGCTTTTCATCGTTCATTGTGTTCAAGCAATGGTGATACCAATATCACAGTTAGAATTCTAAGTGTGATAAGCGGACAATTCTCAGCTAATAGCTTTACAGCTAACATTCTAATTGAGCAATCGCACTGCTGCCCGTTGTTAAACTTTTTTATAGTATGTTTGTTAATTCCAATAATAAACGATTGAAAAACGGATGATAAAAAACAAATGCGATTATTATCAGAAGGTCAGTTTTATCATATCAGTCGGTTTCTTTTAGTGCAGCTGCTGATAGTCAAGGAGATTCGTTTATTAATGAAAGACAATGTCGCCCGACTTACGATTTGTTACGATTCCTATCGCTAGTATTTTCTCGTCATTTTTGTAACACTATTACAACAGTGGCAGAAGCAGAAGCAGCACTTATTTATGATTCAGGCAATCTTTTTCAGTTTATTCAATACGGTAAAATTTAGGTTTAAGTTGCACCTGTCAGCTATATGTGTGCAAATGATGTAAATGACGATTGGACTGAGCAAATAGAAGACAGGTAACATAGGTGAAGAACAGTTAGCAAAGAAATCATCATTGAATTTGGAATTCTTAAAAAGATTCAATAATTTTATTTATGCAGACTGGAAGCAGAGAATTTTTTAAAAATGTGAAAATAAATTTCAAAATCTTTAATTAAAAAATTAATTCCAAAGAATTCCATGTAAATTGCTATCGAATATCGGTCGTAAACCCAAAACTGTTTAGTCTATTTTAATGCATGGAATCTAACAAGGTTAATTAAAGTGCACACTGTAAAATAAATCTTCATTTCTCCTCTTTTCAGTAAATCATTTGGATTGTTTTCAGTTAGTACCGTCGTTCTTTTCTCCTTTTACAAAACTACAGTTATTTTGAAATTAAATTGGCAAATAAATTTTTCAGCAAAATTTTGAAGTTTTTTTCTTTTCAAATTCTCATTTAACGCAGTTTTCCATTTTATTCCTTATTCTTTTACTTAAAAATTTTTATTGCAGGTTAAAGACGAAAAAATGGTGTCCCTTTCTATTTTCTTGTTCTTTATCAGCTTGGCCATTATGGTAAAAATACCAAATCCAAATGAAATCGAGGAAATGTCTCGTTGCCTTTTAAATATGCCAGCTTTTCCGTCAACTTTTTTTTTTTTTTGTGTGTAACAATTCCTTTACATTGCAAATTCATTTCAATAATTTTTTCATCAGTTTTGTTTTTCGAGTTTTAAAACTATAAAAATTTCTGTAATTTCTACTAAAATAAAGGGTAAAATAAGTTAGCAAATGAGTTTACGGGAATGAAGTGATAGCATAAACACAAGTAAATTGATTTGAAAGTCGTTGAAATTTAGCAATTAATTAGTGTCTGATTCACGAAACAATTAAGTTTTTAGAATGTTTTATTAATGATAGAAAAGTGACTGATAGTGCTTATCAAATTTAAACGATTATGCTTACTACCATGTTCCTTTGTCTTCTAAAAAATAATTCGTAGAGAGAAAGGTGTTTATTTCAAAACTTGCATTTCTTCCAGGTCTCGGAGATGTATGATTGCATTCAGAATTGATGTTACAAGAGATATTTAAATCCCTTTGTTTTCCAAAGTCCCTTTAACCTTTTACGCGTAATAACTTAAAATCTGGCGTAAATGTCTCATTAAGATTGATGAAGATCAACATCAAGTCGATTTTTACTAAAAAAAATTGTTGATATTCTCTTGAAATGCTCTAAAAAATGTTTCCCAGTCCAGTATTACTCTTATTTCTTGATTAGCAGATGAGATTTTATGCATTACTGCTTAAGAGTACGCTCAAAGGATTTATTCCAGAAAAATTCACAAATAACTATCTTTGCAGTTAAGCGAACAATAACTAGATGATCCGAAGATGGTTGTGACGTGCTACCGGATGTGGGTCACATTCCGGAAAGTTTCGACGAGAGTTTGGAAAAACAAAAAATACAATATTTGAAAATGTCACAGCAAAATAACCCCTATTTGATGTCTGCAAACGTTGTGTAATTTTGCTCACTGGTTTTCTGAATAGATAATAGACCCATAGACTCCTTGAATAATTACCTTAGAAACAATTAATTATTAAAAAAAATAGAAAAGAATCTATTTCCGCAATTGTTAATAGAAGCACAAAAGCTAGGGTTGAGACAAATATGACTATTCATCAATTGATTTCTGTTGTTTATTTTCTTTTATTCTTAATAAACATGTAAATACTACGATTGTATGCAATTGTAACATTTCTAAAATGTTTGGATTTTATTTATGATTTATGAGAATGTAAACAAACTGGATTACAAAAAATCGTTCAGTTAGGTAAATTCAGTGCAATGGTATGCTTAAGACATTCATCGGAAAATTCTTTGCCGATTTGTAGGAAAGCTTTTTCTGTTTCTTCATCGATTCTGGTATGTTCCTTTAGGCTGTTCACCAACACCGTGAAGAATGCCTGCAAATTCAGAACAAAATTAGTTTCGAATTTAAAGCTAAAAGTAAATCCAAAGTATTACTGTGTTACTATATCGGCGACATTGTGATTAGTATGACTTGCTTAATAAGCATTAAATTTATCATTTGATATTTGATTTCAGACTTCTTGTTACGATGCAAAAAAAGTCTAATTTTTAATTTGAAGCATTCTGTTATTATCATAAAGAAGTAGAAGTGTTCTAATATTATCATTAAAAATTACAAAATAGTCTGTGCTATCTCAGTTTATTACGAAGTGTTTGGAATTAGCTCAAGCTTACAAGCCATAATGTACGATCCATCTTGAATCTGATATGGCGGTTGACCATTTCACGGGCGTATGCCTTGAACGTTTCCGGATCGTTATATGTATTAATAACTATTCTAAGAGCAAGTAAAATTTTTTGCCCTGAAAATTTACATTTCTGAATCCTTGTTTTCTTTTAGTTTGGTTCAAACTTTCTTGAAAATCTAACATTTGTATTATTCTCATAATTATAAAAATGCTTCAAAAAATTTTAAATTAATGAAAAATTTTCTATCCCTTGTTTGGCGAAGCGATCGCTATTTTGTATGTCTATCGGGGTGAAATTTTCGGCGCCTTTGAAGTATACCCGTAAATCCGGATGATGGCCAAACATACTGCAATTAGTTCTTATAATTGTTAAAGCTCAGAAAGTTAATTAGAAAATAATGAATTACTAGGAATGGACTTAAAAATTTTTTGAAGTATCAAATTTATTCATAAAAATATTTGAAACCTAAGTTAAGTTAACAAAAAATCCCAATATAAACCTTCCAATGATAAACTATACGTTGCGCTCAACTTTATCGACTTTTCAAATTAATTTTTTAAAATAAATTCTGTTAGAATTAATTGGACAACAAACAATTTATAGAAATTTTTTCCATGTTGTATTGCTTCCTCATCGGTTCCAACACGGCCCGCTTCATTTAATATTTTCATGCATTTAGCTTGCATCTCCAAATGTGACATCTGCTAAGCAAATGGAACAGTGCTTTTAAAAAATACAATCCTTCTGTCCAATTGTCATGGTTCATTCAATCGGGATAATTCTTTCTTTATTAACCAATTTTCTTTGATAAATTAATTCAACTAATTTTAAAATACCAACAAATTAAAGAAGTTCAATTTTGTAACTCACTACTGAATAGGCTTTGTTAAATGAAATTACAAATAACTGTTTAAAGATTCAAAAAATAATAATGTAAGAAATAATAAATGCGATAGAAAGATGCCTTGAGGATAAATGAAAATTTTGGCATAGTTGAAAAGAAAAAACTGAGCACATTTTATAAAGTGGAACACTGAAATGATTACTTATTAGTGTAACAGGTTTTTCATCTTTTTTCTGCTCAACAAATTTAATGCATATTTAAAGAAGAGATTCTCCTAGTGTTCCTAACAATTGTTCAATTTCAACAAAAGTAAACGTAAACAAAATAATTGAAATTTTAGAAAACTCTTCAGTCAGTGAATGAGCAGCAATTTTTTCTTTTTTTAAAAGGATGCGACTGCACATGCTGTTTAAGAATCACTCCATTCATTTCCAATGAGATGGTGACAGTTTGTCAGTTTGTTTTTTTTATTTGAAAAAAAATAAGCATGAAAATCAATAGAATAACATGCATAACATTTACTTGCTGCAATGAGAAAAATAATTTAACTTATTTCCCCCCTAATTTTAACTAATTTCAGAAAAAAATTGATTATGAAAAGCTCAGACTGTTTTGACGACGAAAAATTTAATGATCACTTTAAAACAATTAACTTTTGGCATCCACTCAACGAGCCGAAATATTCAAATTTTTATAAACGTGAATAGTTGGAAAGGAAAAGTAATTTATTATCATTAACTAGCAAAGATTTATGCAAATTGCATCGTGCTCAAGTAGATCGCAAAGACAATATCTTGGAATTTGCTTACAGTTGGACCAATATAGCAAACAAGTGGACAGATAATATAGTAAGCAATGAAGAGACAAATGTAAAAGCAAATTTTGTATTCATTTCTTTCATCGTTCCTTAATTAGGATGAACGGGGAGGATTCTTATATATATATATATATATATGGAAAAGCTGGATAAGTTCCTGCGAATGAAGATGAAAATTGGATTATACGGTGATGTCCGCCCATTCATTTTACGTAGTTTTAACATAATGTGTTTGCATATGGGTCAATGGGTTAATTAATTTCGAAGTGTTTCATCAAAATCAACAACATGACTAATTGCAATGCAGTAAAACCGATCTCTGTGTTGATAAAACCAACCCAGGTTTTTTTAGAAATGGATCTTTTATTTTCGATCACGCTTTTGGCAAACAAGTTCCTCTACACTCCACTCTATTGATCGAGGCTTGTTCATTACACAACTCAGGCAAAAGTGAAAAAAAGTTCGAAAAAAGCAAATAAGGATTACTGCAACACATATTAGCAATTATATAAGAGAGTGCGCTTGAAGTGTTAGTAACGTCAACTATCACCAGAAGATTAAGCATATTAATAAATAAAAAAATAACTCGGCTAATTTCTAAATTCCTAGATTTGTTATGCAAATGTACAAATTTGTTATGCAAATGGTTATTTATCCAAAAAAAACGATTTAAACTTGAAAATGATAGTTATGAATAGACTTACCTAATTTAGTGGTAATGGCTAGTCGACCCAGCACAGGTCAAAGGAAAAGCGCTTTGCAGAAGGTTGGATAAAAAAGGCAACTATCTCGCTAGTGAAATTGGTGAAAAGACATATAATTCATTTTTATACTATAAGGAAAAGTTTTTTCTTGATGAGATTTTTCGGCTTTTATTAGGGTTATTTAATGGCTCGAAATCCTGTGGCTATAATGCATTATACATGACAGTGATCCAGCAACTGATGGATTTTCTTGATCGAATTTTTTGATAGGTTTTTAGGCTTGCATTAGGCTTATTTAATGATCTGAAGTCCTATGTGTTTTATAGGACAGTACAACAGAAGCTGGTGAGAAGCCTGCTGATTTTGTAGCTTTAATTGCTAAGCAAAGTTTGCCAAGAAGCCGCCATATGCATTTTGAGCGTCTTGTTGCATCAACCGCAATTAATAGTTCAAATACGGCAACATTCCTTGCTCAAGTTGTATGGTTTTCATTCTCTCTCTCTCTCTTTAAAACAAATTTTAGTTGAAACGTATGTTCGGTGACAAAATTCTAAATAACTTAATTATCCGATCGAATTTCCCTGACATGTATGTCAAGTTTAATTGTCCAAATAAGTGGGAAACAATCAACTAAATAAGCAAGTGACAATAATTTTACTTGATGACCATAATGAACATTAAATGAGTATGTTAATCCTTGAAGTAAAGAAAAAAAATAGGAATATATTGATAAGTGCTTTGACATTGTTGAAAAGGGAATTCCTGGTGGGATGCATTGGCATGAATTATGGAAATAAATTCCGTTGATCTAGAGGGGAAAAAATAAAATAAAATAAATTGAAGTACATGAAGCAGGGGAAACAGAGTTTTAATTGATCAAATTATCAAATCAGAATATATTGTTGATCGATGACAGTCGATCAGAAAGGCAGGAACTATCACATATTGACTGTTTATTTGGCTTATTTGGTTTTCATAAAATTTAAAACTTTTTTCATCTTTTTAAATCTTGTCCCATTATGTTCCGCACTATTGAATAGCTGTAAATGCATCATTATTAAGTTGGGTGAAGTGTTTATATTTCGATGTTACATCGTTTTACAAAAGGGATGAAGGAGATCACATACTGAACTATATCACAGTGCATACTTGAAGTAACAGAAATAATTAAATTATCCTCCCTCCTATTTCATTCATTTCAGGTCAAAAATAAAACTATGCTTCAACTTCAGAACTAACCTTTTCTAATACATAAATATGAAAAACAATCTCAGAATAAACTTCCTGTTGCTTAAATTTGTTTTTACTTCTGTCCTGATTTATTCTCTCTCTTGACAGAACAAAAACCGTGTTCCGGTTCCTTTATTTGAGAAGAAGCGTGTAAAATTGAGCACAAAAGCAACTGAAGATACTGACTATTTACCTGCAACGTATGCAAGTTTTAATCGTGAAGATTATATTATCATCCAAGCGCCAACTAAAGAAACTGTAGTTGATTTTTGGCGAATGGTCTGGCAGGTTTGTGGTATTAAAAATGTTCCAAAATGAATGACCAGCTTTATATTCATCACATTTTAACGGCTAAGAAGACTAAGCACAATTGTGGAAATGTCTGAGTGGATTATATGGCAGGAAATTATTTTGAAGTAATTTGGACTATTGCTGATATATGATGACATAAATATTGACAATCCATGCTAATCCTTCTCAGCAAAATCCCTCTAGGCAAATAGTCGTTTAACATTTCCATTATTTACCATTGAAATATTCCGAATGTACTTGTATAGGATGGCTGTAAATTGATCGTTTGTGTTGTGGAGAAATCTCAGATGACGATGCAGAATGACACAGAAAAGTGCTATCAGTACTGGCCAACAAAACCGGATGCAAAGATGGAGATTGGTGTTAGCTGATAACATTTTCGTTATAAATAAAGTGTCCGCTTACAGCCCCCATTTATTTAACTTAAAATTTGCAACAGCTCATTTAACAGCCATACATCTTTCATTCTGATAATAATGCTAAAAAAGGAACCAAAAAAGGAAACAGGAACCATAAAAAAGGAACAAAAAGGAACCCAATGATAGAAGAAACGAAAAAATTCTCAAAATGATTCTGCATTCCCAATCATTTCAATTTTATTTAATTCCATTTCAAAGTCATTTATATTTCACTAATGTGATTGGCAAATTTGGCTTATCACATTTGGTTCCATTTATAAATTTTTCATTTACAGCAAAAACGATTCACAGTAAACTTAGTTAAAAAAAAGAAGAAAAAGGCTTCATAACCTATGATCTTACACTCTCAGCGCATTTGGATGCTGACTTTACTTCTGGAAAAGTAGCTTCAAAAGACTCTATGGACACTGGTGCTGCGGAGGATGACACTAAACCAAGACATGCCAGTCTTTTCCAATTCACTTTTTTTTCAAATATTTCACCCGCCTCATCCACTCCCCCAGTTCCAACGCTAATTTTTTGTTAAGTTGTCAGGTATATCCCAAAAAGGAAATTAGATTTCAGGTAAGCAGGCAGCACACCGACCAACTGCTTAACTCAAACAAGATTGATACATTTAAAAGCCTAGTAAAAGAGACGATTGATACAAGTTTTCGGTTTAATTCATACATAGAATTAGATGAGTTGAGAATCTATAGCTGAGTAAGGATCATAACCTATAATCTTGCAAGAGATACAAGTCATTAAATGAACCTGATGTGTATATTAAAGAGACTTCTCGATAATCATAATTCTAGGCTTGTTAAGATATTACAGTATATCCTAGCACCACTGTAACGATTGCTTGAATTAGCATTTTGCAGTTCTTGAAGTGTATAAAGCATAAATATTCCTAAACCCCCTTCTAATTTAGGTAATAATATTTCATATAACTAACTGGTCAAATGGTATATGGCCAGATCTGGACCAACTGGGACCATTTATTAAAACACTCACAAGTAAGGAGATACAAATCATTAAACGAGCAGCCGATGATTACATTCCACCAGTTGTGCTTCAAGGTTTTGCTGGCCTAAACAGGTACTAACATTTATTTAAGCTATTATATGATTCAATAAATTTGCATTACATGTAAACTGTTTTGATGGATCGATGGTATTCGCTCTTCTTACCACTGTAAATATATCGCTTAGAACATGTGTTGTATGGGTAGCAACCATATTGATGAAGCAGATTGAACGTCGTGAATGCTTCGACGTGGAATATTTGGCGAGGCATTTGGTGCGCATTCGACCGGGGGCATTTTCCGATCCAATGTCATTTTTTGTCCTCTTCGGACTTGCTTTTCGTATTGCTTCATTGGGTGGTTGGAGTGCTTATGAGGTTTGCTTGTATTATATCATTTAAATGTCAGTACCCTTACATCTTCCATTATGAACTTAGGCTCAGTGGTTTTCGCATAATTCGCAGTTTTACTTCGATTACTTCATTTAGTGCTAACAACGAAGTTTTTCAAGATAATTAAAGTCAAAAGCCTTTTCACGAGTTCTTCAACATTACTGTATTCAGGATACAAAGGATCGCATTAAAGAAATAAAAGCAAGCGCATTGGTGACAGTGAAAGCAAGGGAAAAGCAATAAGCTTTTGCGTACTCGCACACACCCTCTTTGACACAGTGTTTCCAGCATAAATAGATTTCCATTGATCTTCCCGACACACTCTTTAGCAGGTGTTGATGAATCAGAGATTTCAGATGTTTCAAGAAGTTTCGCTTCGGAAACTTATGCGATGGGCATCTTTCTAGTCTTAGCATCATCATTTAATTGGAATTTTTATCTTAACATATTCATTTCATTTTCCTCGTCGATTTTCTTTTCCGATTTTCAGCTTCGGTATAGAATTCTCATCTTATCTTTTTTTTCGAAGTAGTTCATCTTTGCTTTCATGAAATTTCAATGCTGCTTCACGTTTTGGTAATTTAGCCTTCAAATGTAAGCCATTACTGGATTCATGCTTGTAAAGAATTTTTTAAGGCTCTTTCTGGTTGAGTTAAAAGCTTTCTTTGTGCGAATTTCTCTATTGTAAAAGCACGACGGACTAAATGATTTTTACTGAGCGCAAATGGCTGTCGGGAAAGATGATCTTTTGACTTCGTTTCTCAGCGATACAAATTTATTCGGGATGTCATATTGTTCTTGCACAATATTACTAGTTAACAAAAAAAGGCATAAGAAGTATTTATATATATGTATATATAACACGATGAATTGATAAGCAGTGATAAATTGAGTTGTACAAAAAGCAAGTGATATGATCAACTAACAAATTCCTTGTCGTTGCCTTGGACAATAATTTGACTGTCGGTTAGTTGATAGGTTGCGTAATGGTTGAGATGTAAGAATTCGTCCTTCATTGAGCTGTGTTGCATGAAATATTTTTAGCGAAGAGAAAGAAGATTGTAGCCTGTTGTTCAGTGATGGCGGATATACGAAGGGAATATCGTAGTTTGCTTGATTATGAAAGTGAAATGTTTCGCATTTTCCCTTATATATACATAAGAATTAAGGAGGAGTTTTGTAAGCTCCATTGAGGCTATCACGGCCCTTTGGCATTGTCCATTGTATAGGTACAATGTATATCATTGTCCATGGTGTAGACACTGGGACGTTTTTATGTTATGCTGTCCACTGTTAGCTTATATCCTCTCCATTGTTTTAATTTTTACAAGATTTCATCATCCTCTCTGTTAGATATTGTGGAAATTTTATTTGAACATGGGTTTAATTCGATAATCCGACAGTGGCCATTCATAAAGGATTTTTTACTTCATTCATTTCACAGGCTGAAAAGTGGGAAATTGAAGTTATGATGCATAGTGATATATTCAAATCATTAACGTCAACCTAATTGCTCGGACAAACCGCTCTAGAGACAAACCTCCCTCACTGCAGCAGATTTTTTGAATTAACCGATCTGATCAAAGGCTGAAGCAGTTGGTTGGATCGTTTAATTCAAAATGTTTGCTGCAGTGATACGGTTTGACCAAGGTGACGAGTACTGAAGCCAAAAGATACGTTAATTAGTAACCTTTCTAAAGACTTTGTAAACATGTTTCTACTGAAATCACACTTCTTGTCCTTTTGATTCCCGCGGGACAGTGTACCACGATGGTCCACCCTGTTAATTTAAAGCCTCGTGTCACATCAAGTAGAATATTGTGGAATTTCAAAACTATAACTGTAACTATAACTGTAGATTAGGATAGTTATCCCGAAAATTATAGTTACTCGACAAAGGTTGAATGAGCTTCAGCATTCGTAATACATCGTCATTTTGTGGTGCATCGTAATCTGGTCAGTCCTCATTTGAATTAGTTGCAGTTTGAGTCCGGGCAATCTGGAAGCACTTCTGTCGTACTGTTTATGAATTTGTAGTGCTTTTTTACTTGATAAGTCTGATTTGTGCTATACACACTTGACAAAGCTAATTTGTGCATATTAAAGCTATTCATGGACGGTCAAGTTCAAGTAAATTTGTCATTTTTTGGAAAAAAAACTAGCATAAAATGAGTTCAGATGCTTTCCTGTTAAATGATGCTAAAATTTTTTAAATGTATTGGCAGATTTCAACTGAAACTGGTAAATAATAGTCATGAATTCATCAATAACCCAGCACAGCAACATTACTTACAGCTGTTCTTCCAATCATTGTGATTTTATTAATTTTACTGCGTACTTGTTCTCATGATTTTTCACTCTATAAAACAACATGGTTCTTATCCAATCTTATCAAAATCTACAATTAGTTATATTGCTTGATTTTCTTTATTATCTAAACTAGAAGACTCGAAAAAAAAAACCCCTTTTTATCATTTGTCTCATATATACCTGCTAATCGAAGTAAAATAATGACACAAGTAAATTTGTTCAGTAAATTAGGAAGTGAATAAGTGAATGTCATTCCATTTCAATTAATATGCTATAAATTCATTAAAATAACAAATGATGTTGCAAATGAAATTTCGACTTTCGGATACACTTGTGTAGATTTGAATTCATTAAATATTACTAAATGTTGCAGACATTGGCGAAATATAGTGAGGGAAGGGTATGTTAGAAAGCTCTAGCAAGCTAAAGAAATATTTTGCTTTTGACTATAAGTGTTCAGTGGTTTGTTTAACTGATTCGATCTCATGGATCTGTATGTTGAACTATTAGTGGTAGAAGAGCGTTTATGATTAGATCAGTGCAGGATGTTGCAATGATACATATTTCTAGAAGAGAACCAAATTTATTACAAATTTTAAATTAAACTGAGAAGTGAAAATTTCTTTCGAACTCCTTCACATTCATCGAAATATTTCGAGATTGCATTTGATATATATGAAATGAATTGGCCACTTATCTTTTTTTATTAATGTTTTTACCATCTTAGTTCGAGTTCCTCTTTGACTCTTAATTTACTATTTAATTATATTTAGCAATATCTATTCATCCATTCGATCACCTCATTTTGTTTTAATGATTACAGTTTTCTCCGTAGTGAAGCAACAAATGAGTTCTCTGACTTTCATATTCTTTTCATGAAACCTTGAAAGCATAACAGAGACTTTTTGAAATTTGAATACTAAATACGACGAGAGTTCTCCAAACAATATTCATCTTGACAACTTTCCTCCAAATCTAGATCTAACGCTTCCTGACGTTCCATTTTATTTTTGTTTTTCTTCTAAAATAATATGTAAGAAATGATAATATCTTCCCTTCTTTTAAGAGTAAAAAAATTTACAAATATGCAAAAAATATTTACAAAAAGAAAAAAACTTTGTCGAAATTGCGGTTCAAAAATTTTAACCATTTCATTATCGGTTTGTAGAACGGTATTGATTTCGTATTATTTCGCTCTCGCTTATAAATAAAACTCAAAAGATTAAGCTTACACTATTAATCACACTAAGTTTAGAGTGAGGTTGTAAAGGTACCAGAGCTGGCTAGCTCAACCGAATCTCCCATTGATACACTATGTCGCCCTTCGGAAGTAGCAGCTAGGGTAGAGCAATTGCTTTTCGATGTTATAAATAAAGCTGAAATGGTAACTAGTATAATTTATCAAAGGATACAGTTTTGCGGAAAGCAAAGATATTACAAAGTAACATAGTAGAAAATGTTTTTCTATTTTACGAACTGAGATAACAAATTTTTAGAGTACAAACAACTTTGCAGAAAACAAGCTTTCCTCCTCATAGGTACTGAAACAACTCCCTCAACAAGAGATGGAAATGACAGTATCAGGAAAAAGTTCTAATCGAATGCTAGGTTCTGGAAAACAACTTGGTCCACGTACCGCCGATCCAGGAAAGTTGAAAGGCAAGAAATTGTTTTCTACAACGCTGATTTTCGGCAGATTCATCTCTGAGCTCAATATTTCCCCATGTTTTCAGGACGTCAACGCTCTGTAATAAGAAGTTCTGAAATTTCATCATCATTAGTGTTAAACGAAAGACCGGGAGTGCGATATTTGTGCTGCGATCGATTCTTCAAATGCAATGGACGTAATCTGGTGATGAAGTTATCGAAATTTTCTTACAAATTTATAATAAATCTATGTAGAAGTACGAAATTCTCTCCAGATCGCTCGAGAAATTTGGCCTTCAGATGGTGGTTGTATTGAGTTAAATCGAAAAGAACTGAAACGCTTTATTACAAACAATGAAGCTAGAAGGTAATCATAACCATACGAATTTGTGAGATTTGAATTTCGCACTAAAACTTTTAAACTTAGGCTTAGTGGATCGAAACTGAGTAGACATGTGGCTGGCGGAAGTTCGCTGGAATATGCCAGTGATAGTACGATGCAACATACTTCAAGAGATGACAGTACGCTAACCAGTATCCAGTCTTTCAATTCAGTGTACAGGTAGAACAGAAAGAAATTGAATTAATTTGAAGATCTTCAAGGTTCTTGAATGTTGATAAACAGGCGAAAATTAATTTCCATTTATTTAATCTAAAATGGAATAATTAATCAAGAGTCTAAAACTCAGTTTTAAAACTCCGAAAGTTTAAAACTCTGAGAAAGAAGATGATGAAGTGAGAAATCATCATGTTGAAGACTGACTACGTCAGATTATTTGATCTCTAATAGATGTGTCTATCCACTACCTCCACCTTTTATATTAACTATTTAAAAGATCAATTATTAGTCATAAAAGAAATTTAGCATTCAAGAATAATAATCGAAATTACTAGACTAAAATAAATTGTTTTAAAACTTGATATGAAAACCGAAATTTCAAAAGTGGATTTAAATAATTTCAGATCAGATCTTTATAAAGTATGTCAACACAAAGAAAAAAGTTTAACTAAACTTAGTCGTACGGCACTTAATACCGATAGCAATAAGGATGTTAAAGCACAACAGCAACTTCATGTGCAAGGGAATTTTGCGCAACTTAACAAGTAGCTTATACAAATATCTGTTTGGTTCAATTTTCTCTACAGAATTTTTTTTTAAGTCGATTTCCTGCATGCAAGATGAACTTTATCGGTCACGGTCAACTGTTTTTTTTTTTTGGACTTGATGCTGTTCACTTAATATGATGTAAAGGAAGACGGAGAAGGATGAAAGACACATATCCAAAATTCCTAGATAAAATTTTAATGTTTATTACTTTAGTCAACTATCTACTTATATGAGCAAGCAGTAACTGAGGATAGGTTCATTTACTTTATATGTTCACTTGTTTCTTTACTCATCGCTAAAACTATTCATTTGGATGTTATGGCAACCACGAATGCGAAGGACAGACATTTCAGAGACGCATCATCAGATATAAGTATGACAACAATAACTGAGTCACCTGAAACACTGATCAGTAGTGAAACAACAGATCTCACAAGCCCAACTGCTGATGAATCTTCGTCAAACAAAAACGGACAACCGACTGGAGCTCGTAATTTTATACAAAACAGGGGAGATCAACTGGTTCCAACAATGAAACCCGATGGTACCATTGTTATACCGGGAGTTGTAAGTATTATCAGTGATTGTGTATTAAAACAGATTAAGATTTGATAATGATTCCTGGGTTCTTAAACAACAGAAAGCCCCAGCTTGGATAGATCTAGCTACAAGCAGATATAATTGTTTTTTTCAAGCATCGGTAGAGTAAGAGTAAGGTTGACACGAAGAGCAATACACTCGGGATAAGATCCAACTGAGCCTTCCCAACCAAAACTATTTAAAACCTTAAATCACGGCAAAATCAATAAGAAACTAGCGGATTAGCCATAAAGAAATATTCCCCCTCCCCTTCGATTTCCTATATGAAGTGACTACGAACACTACGAAGCTTGAATCTCACATAGGTCAACTGGGTAACTTTCCTTAGGTGCATGTGGACAATTTTGAAAGCTTAAATGGCGTTGTGCTGAAATTGAAAGTGCTCATCAAGAGTTCGAAGGAATCGAGGCGACTCAGTTTAAACATTAACTGCCCAGACTTCAAGCCAAGATCGGTCAAAGTGAATGGAATCGAAACTCATATCCTTTAGAAGACAACATACTTCAGAACTTCCTAAATATGTTCCGAGGAATACTCCAATAAAAAGCCTTACGAATTCTTTAAAAATAAGGTATGTTCCGACAAAGTCACAATTTATAACCGTTGATTCATCAACAGTAATTATTAAATACCACCCACAGGCAGAATTTTAAAATACAGTTCCATTACCTTCTTCTGCCAAATTTTTTCCATGAACAATCAAAAAATATATGTTCAGAACGAATACATTTTTTATCAAGAAGCAAAAACCGATGTCCAAATATATAAAGAAAACATGAAAACTGAGAAAAATAAATAAAAAGTATTCTTAGAAACGACAGAAAATATTCGTGCACTACTGGGAATGCATGAGTTTGCTTTCCAAAATGTAAAAGTTATGCCAGTCACCACTATGAATGAGTACTTATGACAAACCAATCGCCAAATTAAAAAAAATCTAAAAAAAACCCCATCCAAAATAAACACATTTGGTGAAAGTCATGGATAGAATAACCTTAATGAGCTAGTAAAATTCACAGAGAGCTGGAAAGCCAATTTCGCAAGCTCGTACTTAATTCTTCAAGTTGTACCTTGAAGAAATAATGAGCTTGTGTGAATAAAAAGGAGAATGACGAAATTTCATGTCCTTGCAGACAGATAGGTAAAAAAAACGTAAAAACACAATTCTGCATAATAATATTGTTCATAAAAATTTCACAGCATGTAGGTTTCCATAAATCCCTTTTCAAACGTAAATACGAGCGAACGATTCTCTATGACAGCAAATAAAAAAACTCGTGCTCTCTATTTTGCTGGTGAATGGATAGATACGATATTGATCGATCTCACAACTCCATCTGTCGTTACTACTCGTACAAATTCATTTAGTCGTCATCATCGTCACGAACTCTGAAAAAATGTAATGCTTTAGGTAGAAGTGAATTCGCTATAGGTTACGTGAAATTCATTTACAGACCAGAAAAGTAAAGCTGAACAGGAAGGAAGCAAAAATTTGAAAACAATGTCTACTTCCTTATCCAACCATCATTCAAACTTCCTGCTCAGATATGATTAATAGCTCTTATTTTTTGAATTCGTAATTACGGATACATATATTTGTGTTTGAATTTCTCCACTCAATACGGATATGCGCAAAATGCAATAGAGAAAAACGAAAACTAGAATACCTTTTAAAGCAGACAAAATTTCATTTACGAGACATTTTGAAACATTACTTTCAGAAATGAAAAACTAAAAAAAACATTGCCGATAATTTCAAACATGTGTTTCACATTCTACCATCTCTGGCTACCTCTTTTGCCCATAAATCTTATTTTGCATTTTATTTGCACTGCTATCATTTTACGTGAGCAATGATATTAAGTATTTCGATATTCATAAAAACTCCCGTCAAAATATACAGCTGTTTGATACGAATTCCCCCACTTAATTCACATAGAGCTTACTATCGATTTCTACAAAGTAAACGTAAATCAAAAACAATCAAAAATGTCAAAACCTCGATAAAAATGCTCACCTTCGTAATTGACTTGACCATCGCCATCAATATCAGCTTCCCTAATCATTTCATCCACCTCCTCATCGGTCAGTTTTTCACCAAGATTAGTCATAACGTGACGCAACTCGGCTGCAGATATGAAACCATTACCATCCTTGTCGAATACCTGCAAATAAATAAAATTTTGTGTGATGTGTAAATAAAAGACGCCTTAATCTAATATAAATATGTACAGCTAAATATAGGACAGGTAATGAGCTTTGCCGATTAAATATATATGGGAAGATGAATTTTAAAACGCACACGAAACTAGTAAAATAAAAACTGCTTGGTCACTGAATACAGCATTACGATGACGGCGCGAGGACATTTCAACCAAATGTTTTATGGCCTCACGAACAAAATCCGCCATCGAGATTTATCTAAACCTAATTGCCGGTTAGGCCATCTCCAATTAGGACTGTTCGCTAAAGCGACAAGAAACATTGAGGACATACTCGGAAGGCTTCACGGATCTCTTCTTCGCTATCTGTATCCTTCATTTTCCGTGCCATCATGGTAAGGAATTCCGGGAAGTCAATCGTTCCGTTACCTGTAAATTAAGCCGAAAAACCTTTGTAACTAAGACGGAGAACAAGTGACGAGTGACGACATCTAGGTTGGACGCCGACTGTTTAACTTGACAAGAAGGATAACAAAACCAGAATCTAGAAAAAGAAAACTAAAAACTGCATCACTCTAACCATCAGCATCAACTTCATTGATCATATCCTGCAATTCGGCTTCAGTCGGGTTCTGGCCTAGCGACCGCATAACCGTACCCAACTCTTTTGTTGTAATTGTGCCATCGCCATCTTTGTCGAACAAGGAAAATGCCTCCTTGAATTCTGGAAAATGAAACACCTGGCACAAGAATACTTTATATAGCAGCCTTTCTGGTGTGCGCTTACTATCGTCATAAATAAAAAATGAAAAACATTTACGTATACCATAACTGAGATGCAAAACAATCTTTTTTTAAATTGTTACAACGTACAAAATTAGAAAAATTATCAGATGTATTTCAAACATTCACCTTTAAGCCTAGAAACTATGTATTTTCATATCAAAAAAAGAACTAGAAGGAATCATGAAGGAATTTCAATACAGAATTAGGAGCAGAATGAATTCAGACAAGTAATAAGAACATCTGGAACCCTCAATAAAGCACACGACCGACGAACATGAACTTAAAATAAAATGAGAATTTTCAAAACTGTAACTGTCCCTCATGTACTGTTACTTTCCCAATGCTGTGAGTTAAAAATCATCTGCAGAGATCCCAAAGGAACACTTCTTTATTTTCAATTAGGAAAAATAATCCTTTTCTTCAGTAAATTGTGATTATTCCAGCCTAATTGGACCCTATGTGCTAATTTGTTCCAGGGATTCAAAAACCAACTATTTTGTTTTTTGGAAAAACAGCTGTTCCATGTTCAAAATGAATTAGAGAATTGCTATCAAAATTAGCACATTGTTTTAAAGGACTTGTTAAACTGCACTTTTGGTAAAAAATGAAATCGTATTTTGCCACTGAAATTCTGGAATTCAGTTTATCCAGATCCCTTAATTCAATGACGACAGTGTACTATGAAGTAGTCACTATTTTTCATGTTCAGTTGAAGTTTCCTTAATAAAAATTTACGTTGGTCTCTTCTGCCTCACAAAAGCCGCAGGAGTTCGATGTCAAACCTAGACTATATTTCTAATTAAGACAGTTGCTATTATAATCAGGTACCATCCATCAACAGTTTTTATTTGTATTTAAGACGATAATATTCTGTTAGACATTAATACAATATTTTTGGTATTGTTTTAATGACTGTCACTGTACATCATAAGATTGATAAAAATCTGTGTTCGTTTGAATATAGCCCCTGCCTTAACAAGAAAAATTTCAAAAAATCGACCGGATAGTTTATGTCTAAAAACTATTACATTTCAAGATTTTATACTAATACTTCAAATCCCCGTTTTAACGCAATAAGCTGGTCTTCTGTGAAATTTCATGGAAGTTGTATACTTCTATTGTACTTCCAACGTCACGATACACTCTACATAAGTCCTAAATATTATGTTATTTTCATAGATATAATAGTAATTTCTGAAACCTTTAAATATCTGAACAATTTACTTGTCTGCAGGATGCGCGTACCAATATGATGCTAGTACTTGCTGCTTTCAGCAGAAACCATTTCCAAAAATTATGACGTCATCCCCAATATTTTCTTACACCCAATATAGTCTAGTAATAACACTTTCGAAGCGACCAAAATAATGTCATATTTGGAGCCTTATCTCTGATGGACGCTGGGATGAGCATGAGATGATTCCTACGGTTACTACTAGGTGTAATCCGGAATGAGAAAACTCTAACGCGTCACTTTTGTAACACAGTAATATCTGGGTTTAAGTAAAATTTATCGCATCTTATAATCAGCGCAGTTTCCATGAGCCGCAAGTAATCAACTGTTCCCTCTCAAGTTATTTGGTAACAATCCGAACAAATTTAATGATTTATAACTACATCAGTGTTCGCAAACGGAACACAAAAGGCCGTTAGACTTTCTGAAGTAATGAGAAAACCAAAAAAGAACCATGAATCTGGTACACCATATCTTGTCGCATTCAGTAAGAGTGAACGAATAACACTATATATTATTAAACGGAATAGGAATGAATGAAAAGAGTAAACAATTGTATAGTATAGACTTAAGACTCAGGATTCCTCATCATCGATTAATCCATTCAACCTTCGTAAATTAGGCCTTCTAGGACCAGCACAGATGTGACCCAGAACAAGAAATAAAAACATTTTATGTTACACAAAGAATGCAATCATTATTAAATACTCTTATTTAAATTAAAAATCAAATGTTAGTGATTTCATAAGAAGCTCTCAAAACCTTGAAGTTTGAATTAAATTAATTAGAAGCTTACCTGCAATTTGCTCCTCAGTGAGTTGATCGGCCATTAGTTCGCGGAAATTTTCGAAGAATCAAAAGGACGAGAAAGCGTGAAACGCACCAAAAAGATGCAAACGAGATCAAGTCCGTGAAAGGAAGTAACTAAAGTAAATGATGAGGAAACCACGTAAAATCACCACTAATAACAGCAAGTTTGCTTAATAAGTGCAGACGCCCTTGTAAAGTACACCACAACAGCTTCCTTGATATCGTCCGTAAATACTTGGCTTGGCAAAGATAACTTTTCCAGGCAGAAACTAAAATTTTTCACAATGCATCATCAATAATTAATATGCAAATAACGTAGTAGCGCCTACACCAGAAATCAAATAGCAAAATCAGTAAAACGACAACCAAATGAATGAATCCAGTCACTAAGAAGTGAAACTTGTTTCCTCAACAACTGAATCATTATTAAACACATACTATATATAGCAGATGTAACATTTGCATAATCTCTAATATCTTTTTATTATTTAATGCCTCTCCAAAGGAACTAAACAAGAGATGCTAGAGATTTAAACATCAAATATGTAATTGGTTCGACACCGCAGTTTCATTACCTAACCGTTAGTATTTCAAGCATCATACAAAGTCTAGTCAGATAATATGAATTGGAAGTCAACGGTTGGAGTACATCACAAACTTAATCTTCCTGTCCACCCCCATCTCTTCCTCAAATAATCAAATAAAGCTCCGTATTAACTGCAAGAAGGTAGCCTATTAACAGACGAAAAAAAAACTAGAAAAGTTGCACGAATTAGTTCGTAGGTCTTCCATACTAAATATAAAAGTAAAGATACTGTAAATTCTGCCTTGAAAAAATTGATTCATAACCACATTACAATGGGCACCGTGAAACCGATCTGCTGTAAAGTTTCCTCAAGAAGTTTCTGGATTATGTGACATACTGTCCTAAGCATGGATAACAAAAATAATAATCCTTCAGTAAAAAATAGTGTATTTTCTCCTGCTGTCACATATTAACAAGTGTAGAAGCCAATATGAATAGCTCATGGACCAATTAGCATAAATGACGTACCTTAGAATGTAGGAAGTCACAGAACACTATTTCTTAGCATGAGAGTCTAAGCTATTCAATTCTTCTTTTTTATTATTAAATGAATAGTACCGGGAAATTTAAAATGCTTAGAAAACCAAGTCCCAATCTTCCAAAATTTTTGAATCCAGTATTTACGCTTTACTCATTCACGTTTATCTCAATATTTGAAAAGATCCACTACTTTTTGGAACACATGGTTTTCAAACAGAATATCTCCTAAATCTACTGAAACTGTAATCAAATGATGGATTTTTTTACCTAAATCTACTGAAACTGTAATCAAATAATGGATTTTTTCCGCAAATTCTATTCCATAACTACATCAATTCACAACAACCATTTTAAAAGGGTTCTCGAAAATTCACGAAGCTTGAGATAACAAAAAACATAAAGATCAATTTATTTGGATTTCCTTTGAAAAAAAAAAACTTTAGATAACACACATCAAAATGCACTTGAAGTAAACTATAGAGAGATATTCCGCTAAAAAATAAAGATGAATAAGAAACCAAAATTAGGGATTGTATAAGGCGATCATGCAGTATTGAGTATCGACTTAGCCTAGTAGTGAAAGGTTTATCATCAGGTGACCGAGCACTCTGTCAACAAGCGCTGAACACACGGGTGTCTCAGTCATACACTAGACACAATGTCCCACAGCAATGACAAGACATGCCAAAAGAATAAAGTGAAGAGACAATAAACACATACTCACTGCATGCTCAAACATATTGATGACTGCCTTGTGAAATATTACGTTTCATGTATATATTAAAAAAAAAAAAATTGGAGTACGCTGCTAGAGAAATTTGACATCCCATCTCAACTTTCAAATTCAAACAATTCAAGCCTAATTGTAAATTAAGTACTCTAATAGTTGTCATCACTCATTTGCTTGAGCACAGCATATACAGATGGCTTCTCATGATCATGAAATATGCCATAACGAACCAAAAAGTCTTACTGTCAGCGAAAACAAACACTGAAAACAGTAAAAGATCAAAGCGTACTTTCACTTTTTGTGAGGTCTACGTTAGTCAACAGTCCCCGTAAAATTAATCAAAAAACACTTCTTACCCCTGATGATAGATTCCTCAATTTACAATATAATCAATCAAAGAAACCTCATTACTCTAAAACAAGGTACGACTTAATTACTAACCATGAAAAAGAGCCGTTTGTACCAAAGCTATCATTAATGCAGTCATGAAGCAAATCTCAGTAATCACCAAAAGACCCACTGTACTGAACAACTCGAACTTTCCACTGTACATTAAAAACGTTAGAATTTTCCTCCAAAGTAGACAAAATATATCTTGACATACTACGATGACAGCAGCTGATACCTTAACTTGCATACCATTGAAGTGCTCAGGAGAGTTTCATCATCCAATAAAAGTTTTAAAGATATGGAAGAGTTTTTGCAAATAAACCTTTACCGGTCAAAACTTATCATCTAACATACGCCAAACAGGTAGAAACAGACGTACAGAGAGCTGAGATAGCAGCCCAAAATGCAATAAAGTGATGTGAATATGAAACAGGATGTGTCAATAAAAAAGCAGGTTTTTTTTCCAGACCAATCCTTCACCGCATTCCTGGACTGTTTAACGATAACTGAATGCAAGCAACTAATATCAATTATTAGACATAAACGACATCTCATTCAATAATTAATAACTCATAAGCTTTCCTCCACGTTACTATAAAACAAAGTAGCCAATAAATTTACTGTTAAAAACTGAAATTTACTCAACGTATCAGGTCACAATTTAATAACAATTAATGGGTAACAAACTTTCCTCCACATTACTGTAAAACAAGACAGCCAACAAATTTATTGTTAAAGCCATCACGACTACAACTTAGGAATGAAACTACTGAAAAATGCTAATAATAATTACTGCCACTTATTAAGTGTCCCGATTCCCACAGTTCGGAGTAGATTTTCAGACACAATTCCTAACTTAAAAGTTATAGACAAAAATTATTTAAAAAGGTAATTGAAAAGAAATCTGTAACCTCTAATAACCATTGTCCTATTGAAATGGAGTAAAGAATGGAAGATATTTATTTTGAAGTATTGGAAAGAGTTTCAGTACTTTCAAAAAACCACTAAAAACTGAAAATACACATGTATTAGTATGTCAAACAGATACGTAGAAATAACACAGCTTATATATCAAGCTTCATCGTTAAAATGCTTTAGTTACGTCCCAGAACAAACTTTTTTGTCTTTATAGGATCTGAAATTCTCGATGATAGTTCATGAATTTTACAACTGCTCACTTACTGTAGATCCAAGATGCTTCACACATCTTACTTGATTTACTGCATGCCACTTGTCTCAATGAATAACCTCCCAATAACTGGACCAAAAATTTTTGAATTCGCTTCCAGAATTTGAATTTAGGCGAAATTACCTTCAATTCACAGCAAACCACGCGTACTCAAAAGGAAAATGAAATCAAAAGTTCGCAATCTCAAAACTAAGTTCAATACGCTTAAACTCTTCTATTTCTGCAACGAAATTACGAACATTCAACTGTTAGGAAGCGTGGATTGGGAAGTAAACTTTATGGGACAATATGAAGTGCCGTAACATCCATCGGTGCCTAAAAATCGCCAATCTAACAAAAAGGACCGGGCAATGGCTACACAATCATCCCTTTTGCCACTTATTCTCCCACAATGTATGAAGCTGAGGAAGTGAGCAGGAGAGGAAGATCTAGCAATATCCATGAAGACGAAGCTGGGAAATTACTCGAACAGAGTGGACCAGACATGCTCGTATGTGGCACATGTAGCATACACGCATACACACGTTACATGGTGTACTGACCGGACAGTTGAGCAACGTGTACAAGAATTTAAGGAAGGAGAATGGATGCTGGACAAAAGAGAGAAAGAAGAAGCAGAGATCCATTATCTGACGAGGGGTGCCGCACTGGTTGTATCTTTCTAAGTTTTCCAGACTAATAAGCGATCGCGGAAAAAAGAGCAGTGAAAATAGAAAAGATTAAGGGAAAATATGTGGGCGGAGAGCAGAGAAAAGAACGTTTCAAAAAGACAACGCTTTGTGTAGTTCAGCATCACTGCTGTCACATACAATGCAATGCGACAATGAAACAGATAGATAAAGGTAAAGCAACTGATTGGTAAGAAAATAAAAATATGATGTAATACACAACGTAGATAGGAGAGAGGTTGGAGAAAAAATAATTCAAGTTAAAAAAAGATGTTGTATAAAGAAAATTATTTTATTAAAAGAGCTACAGAAAGTGAGATTAAAAGATTGCTGAGAGAGTGAAGGAGAGGCTTACCGACGGTCATTTTTGCAGTGAATGAGTGAAGTGAGCACTGCGCCGCGTAATGTGCTGTTGCCATGGAAACAGCTCTTCCTTTTGTTCCCTGCTACAGAACAGACAAGCGGAGAGTTGATGAAGAGTGAATGAACAAACACAGAGAAGTAGGAATGCCACAATGACAAACTATGTCGGATGAGTGCTGATTTCACGTTAAGAGGATAGTAAAGACAGTTCGAGAGTATGTGGAAGTCAACTGCTTTAGTCACCTGGTGAGGACATTTGTGCTCTCAGGAAGACATCATGTGACATGGATAGTTCTACTAAGCTGTGACAAAGCGTTTGGTGATACTTCATGAAACAATATGGGCAGTTATAGACCACCACCGTCGACATCAATAGATGTTAAGTAATTCGGCATATTTTCTAATTGCATTTAAGAAAATTCTTGGAAGAAAGATCGTGTATACAAAAAGAATCAGTTGCAATAGGTATCATTCACGCTTCAATTAGAGTGCAAGTGTGGTGTTTTCTGGTGAATGGCACTATAGAAATTCTTCATTAAATATTTCAACTAGAGATATATTGCTTTGCTTGATCATCTCTATTCATTTAGTAAAATTTTGTGAGACTAAAGTTCAAATAATGGATTATGTTAAAGAAGAACGAGGTCGTCGTATAATGTACGAATTAATCGTGGAGTTTTTGTTTTTTTAAAGCGTTCTCTTCTGTAGACCTAATAACTCTTCAGAAGAATTAGGCCTACAGACAAGAGCACTTCAAGCTACCCTGTTTTTATTTTTCCCTCTTCCACGGTTTCTACAAACTTGAACGTATCCATCATGCTTATGCTGTCATTAACAAAAAGAACACATGCAAGAAGCTGCTCGAAATTAAATTAACGACCAAGTACGAAAAATTACGTGCTGCTCTGTTGGTGTTCAGTTTGAGACTGAATCACTGGGCATTTCGCGAATAAAACATCACATTAGTCATCGGATTGTAGTGCAAGAAGACAAGACAGAGTTATGTTGAATTGAAATGCACCGGAGTGGGAATCAGGTCGTATTTTTGGTGAGTGTATTGATTGGGGACAAGTGTTCATGAAATTTGGTTGCAGCTATGCTCAAAAACTTGCAAGACCAAAGTCACCTATCGGTAAAGCAAAATTTATAATCAATCATGAAAAACATAAATGCCAGTTTATATTCAGAGCTTCCAACAAGTATTGCACTTTTTCTTCAAAATTTGGCATTAATGATTATTTTTGGGATATGCTCAACGGAAGGTTGAGAGCAGGCAAAAAAGGCTTGTATAAGAGTATAATAATCTTTCTTAGCGCCCATTCACTTCGAGCTTCTCAATTTCAGTCGCCGCAAATGCAGGATGCACATTCTTAAAAGCTTATGTCTTCCGCATTTTCATTTCCGCAAGTCATATACGGCATTTCTTCTCTTGGACCCGTAAACAGCACAGCAATATTTTTTAAACCGGTTATTTGTTCCCAAGGAACCAATTTTATACAACATAACATCCGCTAAATGATTTGTGTTGCATGCGAGACTTTTTACTGCTGAAAACCTCCACAGCTCTTAAATCTCAAAATCTGACCCAGACACTTTATCGCGGAATAATGGCCTCAGACATATCGAGCAAAACAGTATAACAGACTATATGATTTGGATCCCTGACAGTTTTGTCTATTAGTAATGATAAGTAAAACTGTAATTAGTTCTTTTAGTGGAGCCCATCAACCCGCTGCGTCATTATCAACGAACGTCAGACAGTTAAGATGAAACTCTTCACATCTGGATCAATTGTTTGAAAATTAAATGACCCCATCGAAAGTTAAATAGGAAGAAAGTTAAGTAACGGTAAGTCTCAATGAGGCGTCAGGTTAATAAGATTATTCTACAAATCATTTCCATCCTTATCATTGATGCTTATCATCCAATAGCAGTGACCGTCGTATCATCCATTGTCGGTAGTTACCCTTACTTTTCTATCATTGGAGCACTAGTCTTACGTCACACTGCTTTAGCTTGTTCTTAAATATAACTAACCAACATTTAATAGGAACAGAATTGTCACGCTTTCAAGCATAAATATTGGTATGCAATCAACAAACAGAAAGTATTTGAACGAACCTCATCCCTCGGTTTTAATGTGAGGCATTTTGAAATCTGATATATCCACATTTCCCCAAACTATCCATCCATCCATCTCCCTCTTTCCTTATATGTTCATATATTTTTTTCAAAGCAAAATCTATCCAAAGGGGTTGTGAAGTGAGGTAGATGTAATGTTATAAGAATATATCGTTTGAAAATTTAACTGCTATCAGACATGCCATCATAAATAATGATGCCTCTTTGGTGTACGCTAATTTATTTGACATGAAATGATTTTTTTTTGATATGATTAAATTTAATATGATTTTTGAATTAATAAAATTAGCATCAAAACATACAATATTCATATTGTTTGTCTTAACCATCACGGACATCAGTAACATTATTGGTTAGAGAAAACTGGAATGATTTTTGAAAATTTGGGATGAATACCGAAGCAATTAGACTATGCCAATTGTTAACAGTTTGTAGGTGCTAGAAACCTAACGAACATATACGGATTCTCATCTATCCATTCCATCTCCTCATGTTTACTCACTTAACAAGTTTTTTAACAGAATTTGACAATTTGACACATCACTATCAACACTCTATCGGGGAGGTCCGATCTTCAACTTCCGAAAACATGAGAGAGGGATAAAGTGAAGCGGGTTAATAAGGGGATGGGATCTGCATACTGAAATAGTAAATACGAAATATTGCACCAATGTTTCTAAGTCATTTAAAGTAGTTCAAGTTTCGCTACTCGTATATTTTTCATTTATTTAAAAAATAATTAAATTTCCGACTAGCAATCAATCCTTAAAGAATGTGGAACAGGAAGAAAAGCATATAAATTTCATGGAAATGAGAAGCTGAAAGCGGCGGAAGAATAAAGAATTGCACGGTTTATAAAATTTATCAGCTCGTTGTTATATTGATCGCTAAAAGCGGCTTAAAAAAATACATCCGTCCTATCAGCAGTGCAATACATCTGTGACTACGAAATGCTGTTAGTTGCTAATAATATTGATATGCATAAGTAGTGAAGCGGAAGAGGAAAAAGAGGAAGAGGCGATGGATGCCATAAAATAAACTAAAGGAAAAACTGAAATTTCGTATGGTTTTCGTGCTGCATTAAAGAGTCGAAAAAGAAGAACGCGAAATGAGACGAATCATTGAATTGCAAGTGGATTCTGTCTCGAAAACAAAACATCAGTGGGAAAATTGCATCTCATTCAGTCACTTTACCACAATGTGAATAAATGAAGTCGACCGCATCGATGTTACATAAATAGCTAACAAATTCAGAAAAGTCAATACGTAAAATAGAAAGACAGAAAGGAAGAGGCAGAGGGGCAGGGAGAGGGAGAAGGAGAAGGAGAGAGTGAGAGAGTTATGAATAGTTCCGGATGTCTCCGTGTGACACTGTGTTCTTGTGAGGTTCCTTAAGAAACATTGACATTTTAACATTGAATATCAATTAACTTGCCAATCGCACTGATTCTTTTAGTAATGGTCCTTGAAATGAACAACAGGAATGTTTGAGGGATGGAAGAGAGCAAATTTATTTCGTATGATTGCACTTTCCTAGAGTTTTGGAACTGAAAGGATTAATTACTGCATAAAATGACCCTTGTACATATTGCAGATTAAGTTGATGGAGGTACTTGCTACAATCGTAAATGGAAGCGTTCATAGTGGCTTACTTGATCAGTCAGCAGATCCCCTGAGGATGCGAAGTTAGTAGAGGGAAAACTCAACCGTACGCTGAGGAACAACGATCGAAGTGATACACGCAGTGCCATTATGGTACTTTTATAATAATTATAATAATACAAT